CTCTAGTGGACCAGTGTCCTGAAGTTGGCTCTCCCACCTCAGAGGCACAGCAGTGACTCCTGGCTGCAGCACCAAGAGCCTTTCATCCACACGGCTGAGAATAAAAGGGAGAAAAAGTAGAAAGAAAGAATTAGTAGAAGTAGAAAGAAAGAAAGAAGGGAGGGAGGGAGGGAGAGAGGAAGGAAGGAAGGAATGAGGGAAGGAAGGAAAAAGGAAAGAAGATAAAGTAAAATAAAATAAGATAAAATATAATAAAGTTATTAAAATAAAAAAATAATTATTAAGAGAAAAAAAACGGACGGATAGAAGCCTAGGACAAATGGTGGAAGCAAAGCTATACAGACAAAATCTCACACAGAAGCATACACACACAGTCACAAAAAGAGGAAAAGGGGAAAAAATCATAAATCTTGGTCTCAAAGTCCACCTCCTCAATTTGGGAATGATTCGTTGTCTATTCAGGTATTCCAGAGATGCAGGTACATCAAGTTGATTGTGGAGCTTTAATCCGCTGCTTCTGAAGCTGCTGGGAGAGATTTCCCTTTTTCTTCTTTGTTCGCACAGCTCCCGGGGCTCAGCTTTGTATTTGGCCCCGCCTCTGCATGTAGGTCACCTGAGGGCGTCTGTTTTTTACTCAGACAGGACGGGGTAAAGGAGCCGCTGACTCGGGGAGGGAGGGGCACGGAGTGCGGGGCGGGCCTGCGGCGGCAGAGGCCGGCGTGACGTTGCGCCGGCGTGACGTTGCACCAGCCTGAGGCACGCCGTGCGTTCTCCCGGGGAAGTTTTTCTTGGATCATTGGAACCTGGCAGTTGCGGGCTGCAGAGGCTCCCCGGAAGGGGGGTGTGGACAGTGACCTGTGCTCGCACACAGGCTTCTTGGTGGCGGCAGCAGCAGCCTTAGCGTCTCATGCCTGTCTCTGGGGTCCGCGCTGTTAGTTGCGGCTCGCGCCCGTCTCTGGAGCTCCTTTAAGCAGCGTTCTTAATCCCTTCCAGGTACGTGCGGGATTTCTTGCCTTTTGGGACGTCTGAGGTCTTCTGCCAGCGTTCAGTAGGTGCTCTGCCGGAGTTGCTCCATGTGTAGATGGATTTCTGGTGTATCTGTGGGGAGGAAGGCGATCTCAGCGTCCTACTCCTCCGCCATCTTCCCGGAAACCCTCCACAGTTTTTTTTAATGTTGAGATGTGAATTAATCTCAGATAGAAGGTAATGGCTGCTCTTCGGCCAACTACAGAAGTTGAGGACGTTCTCCCTTCAGTCCCCGTCTCCCTCCTCACAGGTTCCTACTTTATTCCATGTGCCAAGGTATCAGGACCTTCCCTGCTTGTGAATTCCAGGCACCTGCAGCAGCACGTGGCATCCTCTTGGGTAGTCACAGATTTCCTGGCATCCTCACCTACTGGATGTTTTGTTCTAACTTTCACAGCTATTTTAAAGTTTCAAGAGTAAAGCTTTTTTCCCGTTTCAGTCTGTTTTTCACTTTTATTGTTGAAGTGTCAATGTGTTTTCCACAAATGGCAGCATGTTTTGTACTTTGTCCAGCATCCTCATGGCAGATCTAACTGCCCTTGAAATGAAACCTCTTGTCTCCCAAGAATTTCAAAACCACTGGCTCCCATAAAACAGCAGAATTGATTGTACTTTAAACGTTAAAGATTTTGTTTTAAAAACTGTTATTTATCTATGCATTTGCAACATACTTCTGTTTGCAAATTTTGCTCTAAATTATTGGGTTAGCTAGTGAGAGGCCCACGCACCGCGGTGAAGAGTGGCCCCCGCTCACCGTAACTGGAGAAAGCCCTCGCACAGAAACGAAGACCCAACTCAGCCAAAAACAAACAAACAAATAAATAAATAAATTATTGGGTTAGCCAAAAAGTTCATTTGGGTTTTTCTGTAAGATGTTAAGGGAAAACCCAAATGAACTTTTTGGCCAACCCAATACGCGAGGATTGGGAAGATGGGTAGGAACTTCTTAAGTCAAGATAAATGGCAAGAAGCCATGGAACCCAACAATCTCTGCGATATAATTGCTATTAAGTCAAACTATTGTAATAAAAATTCTTATATTTGAAGGTCCAAATGATCATAGTCACGTAATATGTATTTATTAGCAATCAAAAGTTTTTTCCTTTAAGATGATGAGCTCTAAGGCAAAGTATTAGTATTAACAGCAATTTGTTGTATAGACTTTGTTACATAGTAGGTGCTCAATAAATGTGCATTGAATTGAATTTAGTGTTAAATGAGAGATGTGGACTCTGTGATCCTTAATAGCTCATCCTACTTTGACCTATGGTTTTATGATTTGTTCCGTGAAGAACCAGGTTTATAGATAGTGAAAAGCTTCCTGATAGGTGAATTGTCCAATACTTCAAACTCAAAAGATGGACATCTGACCACAGACCTCATGGAATACTGATAAAACAGACCAGCCTTCCCTGAAGACTGGTCCATACCAGTTTCCATATTGTGTGATATATATTAATATCAGATGCCAAGTACAGAATAGCAGCGATTGTTATTCATTAGCATTATATTTGATTTACTTAAAGAAAGTGTAATTCCACTTCCTTTAAAATTCTTCATACATTTTTGGAGAAATTATAGAAATCTACTTTACATTGTATCTGTAATAATGAGTATCTGAATGGTTATTAGGAGTTAGGAAAAGCTCAGCTAAATTATCGTGCTTTCCTTTCCTTTCTATTCCTACTTGGTTGTATATGTGGGCTCAAGTGAATAAAAATAAAAACTGCTCACTTCTATGTAGCATTTTAAGATATATTATGTACTTCCTGATAAATATGGATAGATAATCTGATTTAAAATGAAGAACTAAACCTCAACGAGGTTGTCATTTGAGCAGCCCTACTCTGTAGGGAACAGGGTCAGGATTTGAACCTACTTATTTGATTGATATCTTATGCTATACCATATCAGTACTTGTCACAGTTCTTTACAGGCTCTGTGCCCATGTAAATTTAATATCTTTCCTGACCTCTTTTGTGTATAGGAAATTAGTCTCCAAGGGTTGCGAACTCCACACAGGTTACTGATTTTAAGCTAAGGGTCTATAGGCTAAGCATGTAGTGTGTAGTAAAAAGATAATGAAAATAAAGTGTGAGGGACTCTAGAAACTAAGACCCTGTTTCAAAAACAAATTGTTTTCCATTTCCTATGGCTCTCCTCCACGTGAATTAATTGCCCAATTCATCAAATCCTGCTTTTTAGCAGACTAAATTAGCAGACTAATTCAATCTCATGCACTTGGATTTTGAAAGATTCAAGTTGATAACCCTATGAACCTGTTTATCTGATCTGGAGTTGTTGTTTTTCTTTCCCCGTGATCAATCAATATACCTAGATCAGGTATTTAAGAACATTGAGAAAAATGGGCTTTTGCCTTAATGTTTTATATTGTGCTTAATTGAGATCGTGACTCATTTGTGACATTCACTGTTGAAATGAAAGTTAATTCTGGCTTTGGTATATTTTTCTCATATACATGTGCATATATATATATATATGTATGGCTCATAAATACAATAACATATATATATTATTACTCCCATTGTGAAGGTCATGGGCAGTGTAACTGTGGAAGATGTGACTGCAAAGTAGGCTGGTATGGGAAAAAGTGCGAGCACCCACGTTCCTGCCCGCTGTCAGCTGAGGAGAGCATCAAGAAATGCCAGGGAAGCTCTGCTCTGCCTTGCTCTGGAAGGGGTAAGTGAGGGTCTCAGGCCTTGTGACCCATCGCCTCCTGTGAGTCAAATGAATTTAGTTCACGTGTATCTTATTTAAAAGGTAGCTGAGATTCCTGAATGAGGAAAGATTAGTCTTTTCAGAACTAATAATGACTCCAATATCCATGAGTGAAAGTACATGGAGAAATATAATCTCATTCTTTCTCCCTCTCTGTTACACACACACACACCACCACCACCACCACCACCACCACCACCACCACCACCACCACCACCACCACCACCACCCCCCACCCCCCCGCCATCAGTCTACTTTAGCTCTAAGGTCTGTTCAATTTCTATTCAGTTCAATGCTACATTAAAAAAGGAAAAAACAGTTTGGATATTTGCTCAGAGCTTTCTCAATAAGATCATCTAATTGTCCACTGACATTTCTGAAACTTAATAACAGCCTACTGAGTTATACTATTGGCTTTTGAAAATGTATTGTATAGACAGATAGCTCGGAATAAGCTTTTCTTGTCTTAGACGGCATGTAGCCTCAGGTGTGCTCTTGCCATCAGATCAGTACAAATTGGAGGAGAAGGAAGAATTCATCTAGGGGAAAGCTGGTTTCATTCTTTTTGATTTATCAAAATAAGAAATACAATTTCACCTCTCACATTAAAATGGCAAAGTTAATGTGAAATTTGCTTTCAGAGGTACTGGTAATTGAAGTTATTACAAATTTTATTCATGAAAGAGGAAAAGGAGAAAGATTTCCTTTATCTGAATGTTAGATCAGAAATTTAATTTTATGTTGAAGGGAAACTTTTTTTTGAAAAGTGAATTTTTTAATTGAGATATAATTCAAATGTCATAAAATTCCCTCATTTAAAGTATACAACTTAGTGGGGTTTTTTTAGTATATTCACAGAATACCCAACCATCACCACTGCCTCATTCCTAAACATTTTCGTCATCACAGAAAGAAACTCTGTACCCTTCCTGGGCACTCCCCACTATCCTCTCCACTTAGCCCCTAGAAACCATTAATCTACTTCCTGTCTCTGTGGATTTGCCTAATCTGGGTATTTCACATATAAATATGAAATATGTGTTCTTTTTCTCCTGTTTCTTTTTTCACTTAGCTTAATGTTTTCAATGTTGTATCATGTGTCAGTACTTCATTCACTTTATGGCTGAGTAATATTCATCTGTATGGATATAGCACATTTGTTCATCCATTCATCTGTTAATGAACATTTGGGTTGTTTCTACTTTTTGGCCTTCGTAAATAATGTTCTGTGCATATTTATGTACAAGTTTTTGTGTGGACGTGTGCTTTTGATTTCTCTTGGATATCTACCCATGAGGGGAATTGCTGGGTCATATGGTAACTCTATGTTTAACTTTTTGAGGTACCACAAAACTATCTTTAAAGTGACTACACCATTTTACATTCCCTCCAGAAGTGTATGAAGGTTCCAATTTCTCAACATCCTCACCATTATTTGTTATCATACGTCTTTTTCATTACTTATAGTTGTTTTTTTGGGGGGGGTGCAAAAAACTCCTAAAGTCTCCAAGATTATTTGTAACATAGTATTTTATCATACTCTGATATTCATCCTTAATGATCATAAGGAGAAGGGTAGGATATGGGTAGAAGGAATTTTTAATTTCAGAAGCATTTCTGAATTGCCCCATCTTTCATTAATACTCCCAGGCTGGAAGCAATGTTCTACTAGCGTTAATAAAATACTGTGATTATAGTGCTTGAGTAAGCCTATTATGCTCTTAAAAATAACAAAGACTAAAAATCAGTATTCCTCGGACTACTGGTATTATTTATTGCTAAAAATAACAAATTATAGGACTCCCCTGGTGGCTCAGTGGTTAAGAACCCACCTGCCAATGCAGGGGACACGGGTTCAAGCCCTGGTCCAGGAAGATCCCACATGCTGCAGAGCAACTAATCCCGTGTGCCACAACTACTGAGCCTGTGCTCTAGAGCCCACGAGCCACAGCTACAGAGCCCGCCTGCTGCAACTACTGAAGTCCACGTGCCTAGAGGCTGTGTTCTGCAACAAGAGAAGCCACTGCAATGAGAAGCCCACACTCCGCAACGAAGAGTAGCCCCCGCTCACTGCAACTAGAGAAAGTCAGCGTGCAGCAACAAACACCCAATGCAGCCAAAAATAAATAAATACATTTATTTAAAAAAATAAATAAAAATAAATTATACAATGGAAAAATTTTAAAAGCATATAAAACATATCTCAAACATAGAAAATGACTTTAAGTAGATATATATATATACACACACATATATGTGTATGTATATATTTGCCAGTGGTTTCTCATTTATCTTGAAATTTTTTTTATATAATGCTAGTGCAAGAGAATTATCTGTGGACTTTATATATCAATGTTTAATAAACTCTGGCAAACACATATTTGCCTCCTACCTTTCTAGAGATTCATTAAGTTATTTAGCTACCATTTTTAAGCAATAGCTTATATTTAAAGTCTGTTTTATTAAAAAGGTGTTGATATGTATAGAATTGTATTTTTTATTTTTTTGTAATTCATTCAAGCCTTTTGAAGCACTTTACAGATAAATATAAGCTTCTCTAGTTTCCTCACAGGGAAACGGAAGTATTGATGAGTGAAGTGATTTTCCAGGGAACTGTAACAAAATATAAGAATTTTGAGAATGAAGACCAAGGATTTATGACAGGCAGTCCAATGCTCGGACCAGTGGTTAGAGACTTCCTTTTTCATAGGGCTACATCTGCAAACTCCTGGGCACTGGAGGTTGGAGGTCTTAAAGCAAATGGCCAAACTTTCAAAGGATTAGTTTTGCAATTTATGAATGACAACGGCAGCTGTGGTTACATGAGTGAGGAAAGCAATTACAAGGCTCATTGGTTCTCCAGCCGGAGAGCCTCAGCAGCTTGTTAGCTGGGGCCAAGGAATAAAAACAATTCTCCTGGTAGAATTAGATTAGATTACTTGCTTGTGCTGCTGATGACTAAGTGTGATCATTATGTCTTAAAGGTAGGGGAATAATTTAGAGGATCTTTTAAATTCTCTGAATTCCTTGATTTCTGTCCCTTCATTTAGTTAGATGACTCTCACAAAGACAATACTGATGTACAGTGATTCATCCTGCCCATGGGGTTGGAAGGTGGGCACAGCTTTCTCAATTCTCCTATCAATGTTCTGCCCAAAAATTTTAAATGGTCTATGATAGTCTATTAGTTTTAAACTCTTCTTGATTAAAAATGCATTTTTTTGGTTTTTTTTTTTTTTGTGGCACGCAGGCCTCTCACTGTTGTGGCCTCTCCCGTTGCGGAGCGCAGGCTCCGGACACGCAGGCTCAGCGGCCGTGGCTCATGGGCCCAGCCGCTCTGTGGCATGTGGGATCTTCCCGGACCGGAGCACGAACCCGTGTCCCCTGCATCGGCAGGCGGACTCTCAACCACTGCGCCATCAGGGAAGCCCAAAAATGCATTTTATTATTATTGAGGTTCTCCTGAGTATGTGTCTAGCTTTGGCCAGAAAATGTGAGCAAAATGTGTCACTTCAGAGTAGAAGTTGAGTCAGTGAGAGATTTGCCGTTCTCTCTTTTTCCCTGGCAAGGGGATTTGAAGTTTGAGATGGTGGCACATCCATTAGCCCGGGTCTCTGAATGCGGATGATCAGCAGAAACCTCTGCTGACCCACCGGGTTCTGTCGCATGAGTGAGAAATAAACCTTTGTTGTTTTAAGCAGCTGAGATATTGGGGTTGTTTGTTATGGCTTCAGAACTCCTGGCTCATACTCTTCTGCATACAAAATTAGGGAACACAGCTAAAGCAAAGCAAACAAACAAGCAAACGCGACAAAAATCACACTCAATCCAAAGAGATAAGCATAAAAAAGTTGAGATTTATAACTATATATGTATATCATATCAGTATTAATATCTAAATCAACATAAATAACTATATATTTTATAAATGATGTTTTTATACAGTTCTATCAACAGCATTTATGTGCACTTATTTGACAAGTTAAATGCTAAGAGCATTGAATGTATTATCTTTTTTAATATTCCCCAAACACAATGAGATAGGAAGAAATAGAATTCTTCTTTTTACAAAAGAAGAAATTGGAAATTTGAACAGTTTACCATCTTACATAGTAGGTGCCAGATGTGCAACTTTTAATAGAAACTTTTAATACAGGCCCTCTGATGCCAGAGCTGTCATCTTAGGTAATTTACTAACATGCCACAGTTTGTTAATGTGTTCTTTTAACATGTCAATTTTCTGAACAACTTGTCATGAATATATTTTATTGTTATAAATATTCTTCTGCAAAATTATTGGTATGGCTGCATACTATTCCATAAAATGGTTGTAGCAAAAGAATTTAATCAACCCTCTTTTATTAGACATCTGAATTGTCTCTTATTTTATTCAAGTTATAATTTACATCCTTGAAGTGGAATATTTGCATAAATCCTAAGTATTAATTCTTAGATGTGGATTGCATAGATCTAAATGAATAAGAATATATTAAAACTTTTTAATAAAAACATTGCCCAAACAATTTATAGCCTCTAGAAAAATTGTTCCAGTATACCCTCCTACCAGGAGTGGAAGAGGGGTTCCCTTTGCCCACCAATAGTGACAATTTTAAATAATTAGTTCACTTTTCCTGGTGTATTTTACTCTTCATGTTGTAAACTTTTACTTTATCAAACTCCTTTCACTGACTTCTATAATCATCAAAACAAATGATTTATCTGCAGGCATTAATATTCAGAAGCTTGTGTTTGCAGTATTTGCCTTCTTTGATCATCATTTGTCCTTATGTCTAAGTCATCTTTTTGTTTGGTATTGCACTCCCCTGTGTTTTTGTTGTCTGTCCTCTGTGCCCTTTGGTTTTCTTTCATCAGACTTGTTCTAAGAGGTATGGCATATATTTTGGTCCTTCAACACACATACCCATACACCTCCACAAGGAGAGGTATGGAGTGGAAGAAGA